CCTAGCACAGGTGAGGCACTGGGTTCGATCCTAAGCACTAGATAAAAATAAATGACTAAAAATAAAGGCATTATGTCTACACACAACTAAAAAAATTTTTTTAATTATTATTAATTAGCAAAAATTAGAGCTGGGTGCAGTGGTGCACGCCTATAATCCTAGTGGCTCACGAGGCTGAGGTAGGAGGATTGAGAGTTCAACACCAGCCTCAACAATTGTGAGACGCTAAACAACTCAGTGAGACCCTGTCTCTAAATAAAATACAAAATAGGGCTGGAGATGTGGCTCAGTGGTAGAGTGCCCCGAGTTCATTCCCCCATACAAAAACAAAAACAACAATAACAAAAATTTAGAAACAACTATTAATTTAGAAACAACTATCTATTGAATGTTAAACCCTGACACAGTCATTCAGTGTAGTACTACACAGAGTAAATGAAAATACCAGTTAAATGTATCCAGTTGAATCTCAAATCTCAAAAAAAGTTGCAAAATAATTATTGAGGTATATTATGAATATCCTAAGAATATAAACACATGTAATAAAAATACACATATGGTAAGATATACACACATACATATGAGAATGGGATGCCATCAGGGGCTTCAGATGAATCCGTTACGGTCATTTCTTAAAATGGGAGACAGATACATATGAGTCCTTTACATCATTCTTTACACCTTTCTAGGTGTCTTAGATATTTCCTAGTATTTTTGTGAAATAAGTAGATGACTTTAATTGAGCATAAGATTCCAATAAAAGAATATACTTTCAGTAAGTTCAACATAGTAATATGCTAGTTTCTCAAAAAAGTACCAAAAACAAAAATAGCTTTGATGATTAATAGTGAGGATACACTGTACTAGATTTACTACAAAAGTATAAACACCAGAAGAGCAGTATGTATAGTWTGCATTTGAGTATTTTCCCAGATCCTTTTAGCAATTAGGAAAAAAGATACCATGTGGGCAAATTAGCCATATTTCTGTATACTGGTTGAGCTAGGAACTCCTCTTTCTTTCTCTCTTTTTTGGTGGTTTTGGGGATGAAACCCAGGGCCAGGCACATGCTAGGCAAGCACTCTACTACAAGCTACATTCCCAGCCCCACAGCTCTTATTTTTCATCTTGTTTGTTTTGTTTTTTTGTGGTGCCGGGGGCTGAAACCAGAGCCTAATACATGTTAGGTAAGTGCTCTGCCATGAGCTACTTCTCCAGCCCTGGGACTCTTATTTTTGATACAGACTCATTCTTAAACTCTAGTAGTTTCCTCCTGAGACCATAACAAACTTTGCCTAAGGATCGCAAATAAATGGAAGTTTCAGGAATTAGAAAAAATTGTAATAAGTCACTAAAAAATAAAATAATTGTGGTAAAGAAAATAAAACATCAATAATTTGCCAATAAGCAGGTTATAAAAGTTATATATTTTAGKTTTTTTTTTTTAATTCTCTTAAAAACATTATATAGTTTAAGGCATAAGAGACAGAATCTGGTAGTACCTATACCTGTCGCGTCTTCCATCTCGTGTGCTGCTGTGACTGTAACTTGTACATAGTTTACTGAAGGAAACTAGTTTCAGGTCAAGTTCATTTTCCAGCTGTCGAGCCTGTTTCCTGAGATCTTTAACAAAATTATAAAAGCAAATAATTAGATACAAAGATTCTATCAGTAAGCATGAAAATCACAAGACTATTCTAAAGAAAGCAAACTATAAATAATGATCATATATTGATCTTTTCCAGTTCCTTCCCATAAAGAAAATTGTTAAGGAAACCAAAGACTTACCTAAGAAAGTAAATTAATCATTAATTTAAACTTCAGATGGGACAGAAAGGGAAGTAGCAGTGGGAGAGGCAAACATTCAGCTTTATTCCAAAGACAGCTAGATGACAAATGTTCTAAACATCCCTAACATTTCTACAGCAGTAACTAAAATTCTGTAATTCAGGGCTGGGGATGTAGCTTAGCAGCAGAGTGCTTGCCTAGCATGCACGAGGCCTTGAGTTTATTTCCCAACACAGCAATAAAATAAAATAGAAGAGACTACAAATCACAAAGAAAATGAATGTTTTATGATCAGGATCACATCAATTTACTAGCTAACTTTATATGAGAAAGAAGCCATTATCATTTTTGACAGGAATTTTGCTATCTTTTTATGTTCCAAAGTTTTGTCAGGCTTATGAAATTCTTTTTTTAATAGTAAAATACTTAGCAATTGAACATAAAGAAAAATTTGCAATTAATAAAAATTTTAAATTGTCTTTTCATAAACTTACTCAAAAATTTAGGAGGTGAAACTAACCATGTGCTACTAACAAGGTCAAATATGAATATGACGGGAAAAAACACAAATTTTAAAAGCAGAAGCAAGCAAACAAGCAGAGAAATTGGTATAGTAGTTTAGCATTTAAGGGGCTGAGTGTGAGAAGCTACATCTGGAAATCCACACATCTATATCTGAGTACTCTTCTCATGGTGAAGTACTCTTTTTCATGAAGATTAAAATAAAAGGAYTGAAATATAGGAAATATGGTATAAGAATGTCTCAGTGATAAGGAATACAAAACAGTATTTCAAATATTTCATACTGCAACCAGAAGTAGGAAGCAGAGTAAGACAGTGGAACATATTTTCCCAGAGACAAAATCCCAGGTGGAATCTTGGCTGTCACTCGTTGGCACTAAGATTTATTTGCAAGCTACGCAATCTATAAATCTTTTTAAAAACTTTTATCTTCAGGATATTTTTATGCATTAGAAAAAACAAAAGCTTAAAGCCATGGACCACAGTATTTTATCAATAATGAGCTGTTATCATTATTATAGCATGGTGCTTCAAAAAAGCATAGCCTGATGACTAGTATTAAAGATACCAGGAAACACTTGTACATAATTTAAAAATATTTTCTAGCTAGTACACACATTTCATATGGGCAATTCAAACTATAAGTATGCTCTTTTGTAATTTTAGTAATTGTCTTTTCTAACAGAAACATCAAGTAAAAGCACTTTGAAAATAAGTCAAGACAAGTATATACAAACATAAAATTCATTTTCTTAGATTAACTTGCTGAGGGTGACATTGCTATGGTTTCCAGAGGCTTCGATGGGTAGCAAGAGGACGCAGCTCAAAAGGGTAAGAGGGATTTGGAAAGTAGTTTCTATGTTCCAGCAAGGAAAGAGGCAGTTGAAAGAAAAAGATGAGACTTCTTCCATCTTTGCTGTTCATCATGGTCCAGGAATGAATTTTATAGGACCTCATTTGATTGGACCATATATTCAGGAATTAAATAAATGCACTTGTCAATCACAGGAAGTTTTTTTAGTTTCTTTTTCTTTTTCTTTTTTTCTGGAAGAGGTACAGCGAAGTACAACTCACAGTTTCTCCCAACTTCCTCCTTAACAAAACCAATCCTAGACTCCAGGACAGAAGGTAAAGTTACTTTCTGTCTTCAAACACCCAATCCTCGAAATCTCAGCCTGAACCTGCCACCTAGACCCAACAGGAGATATTCAGCTMAAAAATCCCCGGATGGACCATACTAAGTTCCTCCTTTTCTCTTTTCCCACTCAGTTTTCCAACAGTGACATCAACTCCAAAACGCTCACAACTCCAGTCTCCCTTGGCTCTGGATTTTCTAGCTGAACACCCGTCTTCACTCAGAGTTTGAACCCAAAGCTCCGTGGTCCGAGCTTCACTACCCCTTGCCCATTGCTATCTGGCGACTCCGGCCCCTCTTTCTCTCCAACCCCGCTCTGTCCACTCGCTCAACCCTAATTCCTGGTCTCGTTCACACCGTCGGGTCAGGCCAGCCCCCTCCCTCAGATCATTCGGTTTCCTCGGTCCCCAGGGCTCCCACTAGGCAATTCCTCTTCTCAGCTCGGCCACTCTTAAAGCCTGGCTCTTTCCTCTGCTGCCTCTCCCAAGATCTAGCCTCAGTCAGCCCTTCTGCCTCTAGCGGGACCCACCCGGAGGCCTCGCCCTCACCTTCCCAGTAATTGCTGGTTCCTGCCGCCATCTTTGTTGTCCAACGTCAGATGGGATARGAGAGTAGAGGCGATGTGGGCCAGAGAGCCACCTCTGCCCCTTCTTCCGCCCTGAGCKCCAGGGCCGATGGGATACTCGAACATCCACAAACACTGCCACCTGGTGGGTCTATTTGTTATCTTACAGCTTTTGAGTAGCAAGTCGAAAACTTGGGCTTTTAAGCTCCAGGAATGCAGGTCGCCTCATGCTGGGACCCGTTTTGGCGCATCAAATCTTTATCATCTCCCTGATTTTGATTTATCCCTTCTCTCAACAGGTGCCTACACGACTGAGAGGAGAGTCATCCTCAGACAGAACTCCCACACCTTCCCAGCCAGCCTCTTAGGAAGCCAGAGGTTCTTCCTCATCCTTCCTCTGCCTGTGCTTCATTGTCCAGTCTCTTCGGTGCCTTTTTCCACTGGCCACATTCCTCTATGTCTGGATAGTTGGAGTTCCAGCCTTCTTCCCTTTTGCAGCCAGCAAATCTAGAAAGTGTGTGCTGGTTCCATATGCTCTCKTTCTGACCCCTCAATCTGTTAAAATCATTGTCCAAACCCACCCTTTATAAATACACAAATTATCACAGAACACTGGAGTTGATATTTTACCAGTTCTGTGAAGTTATAGTCATTTTACCTCTTGTGATGTCACTCTCATTTATAATTGTCTTTAATATTTCCTCTACTTGTGCAGTGAGAACCACATCAGTCATTTTTGCTTCAACTGTCAAACATACAAAATCCAAAAGAAAAAACTACTCTATTTGCCCATATTGTAGTCATTTCACCCCTCCCTCCCTCCCTCCTTTCTTCCTTCCTTCCTTCCTTTTCTAAGATTCCTTCTCTTCTAAGATTTCCTTTCTGTTGCAAGAATTTCCTTCAGCCATTTTTTTTTAAAGAGAAGGTCAGTGAGTATAAATTTATTCATTTTTTTAAAATGAGAATGTTGATTTCTCTTTCATATAAAATCTGAAGTTCTTTCTTTCCGTTTTTCCCACAGCATTTGAATAAAAAAATGTGCCTATTTTTCTGGCCACCACATCTGATGAGAAATTGGCTATCGTTTGAATTGCTTTTGCCATCTTTTGTCTCTCCATTCTTGATTGTTCTTTTTCTTTAGTTTAAAAAACTTGAGTATCGTGTCTCCGTGTAGATTTCCTGAAGTTTATCGGTTTGGGATTGTTCATGTTCTTGAATATTCTGCCCAATTTAGGAAAATATCAGAAATTATTTCTTCAAAAATTTTCTGCCTCATGCTTTTTCTCTTTTTTCCCTGGAATTCTGATGACACAACTGCTAGATCTCTTGATAAAGTCCCACAAATCCCTGAGATTCTGCTAATTTTTTTTTCACTCTATCTTTCTGTTGTTCAGATGGAAGGTTATCTACTATTCTGTCTTTAGGTCACTGACAGACAAATATGTCTTTCTCTGACCCTTCCATTCTACTACTGAGTCCATGTGCTTAGTTTATTTCAATTATTATACTTTTCAGATYCAAATTTCCATTCAGTTCCTTATTATATCTTTTATTTCTTTCTGTTTCCTTGGTGAAAGTGTGTGTGTATGTGTTGCTAGGGATCAAAACCAGGGCCTGGTATGTTCTATCACTGAGCTACATCCCTAGCCCTTTTAAAAAAACAAAAAAATAAATTTGAGACAGGCTCTCCCTAAGTTGCTCAGACCAGTCATCCTGTTTCAGGCTCTGAAATAGCAGAGATTATTAGAAATGTGCCAACCATGCCTGTCAGTGAGACTTAAAAAAAATTTTTTTTGGTCCTAAGTTGTTTATAATTGTTCTCTAAAATGCTTCTCCCCCCCCCCCCCAGTACTGTGGCAAGAACTCTACCATTGAGCCACATCCCCAGCCCTTTTTATTTATTTATTTATTTATTTTAAAGAGAGAGAGAGAATTTTTTTTAATATTTATTTTTTAGTTTTCGGTGGACACAACATCTTTATTTTATTTTTATGTGGTGCTGAGAATCGAACCCAGCGTCCCGCACAAGCCAGGCAAGCGCCCTACTGCTTGAGCCACATCCCCAGCCCCCTTTTTATTTTTTAAGATACAATTTCACTAAGTTGTTGAGTCTGGCTTCCAACTTGCAATCCTCTTGCCTCAGTCTCCTAAGTAAAGTAGCTGGGTTGCTTGGCTAGTGCTTCAGAGTACTTTTACACTATTTTAAAATCCATGCCGGATAACTCCAACCTATCTATCATCTTGATGTTGGGGTCTGTTGATTGTGTTTTTTCACTCAGTTGAAATTTTCTGGATTTTTGGCATGAGTTTTTTTTTTTTTAATTATATCCCATATAATCCTGTATTTTATATGCTATGTTTTAGGTATTATGAGACTGGATCTTATTTAAATCTTCCATTTTAGCAGATTTCCTCCTACACTGTGCCAGTGGGAGAGGCTGGGAACTGCCTTGGTTCTTCCAGGTGGGGCTGGAAGTTCAGGTGCTCCCTTGGCCTTCATTGACATCCCAGGTATAGAGAGAGCCTTGTTACTGCTTCCCATGTGGTCCCCACTGACATCACATCAGGAATCCTCATTATTACTGTGCAGCAGTGAAAGTCCCAGCCCCCTATTTTGCCTTCTTTGACACCACTATGTATGGATGTTGGGGGGCACTTCATTACTGCAAGGTGAGGATGCCTGTCTAGCCCCTCCCCCTCAGCCTTTGCTGGTCAGGGTTTGAAATGGGTCTTGGTTTATTCTGTGGCATTTGTAGGGAGTAGCACAATTATCGTCTAACAATATTCTGTCTTGCTAGGCTACTCGTTTCTTGGTCTTTCCCTGGAGAGAAAAGCTTTCCTTTGGATTTTTCCAGTCTGCACCTTTTAGCATCTTTGGATATCCAGACTCTCTAGCACACATCATAGGATACATGACGCAAAGAGAAAAGCCAGGAACTCACTTCTACCTTGTTTTTTAGATCCTGAGATTCCTAGTTGGTCTGGTCTGCCTTTTTTCCACATTTCTGAATATATACATAATGTATAAACATTTTGCTGGATTTCATGAGAGGAATGGGGGAATAATTCTATCCCATCTTGTCTAGAACTGAAATTCTCCTTTTAAATTTTTAATAAATTTTAATTCTCTGCTAACATTTTTCATCTTCTATTTTCTTAAATTTATTCATCACTATTATTAAAATATCTGTTTGATAACTGCAAAATCTGTACCTCTCTTGGAACTATTTCTTATTTTTCCCCTTTGATCGTTCATCATTTCATCTTGTTTTTAATAAGACTAACTTTTGAGTGGATACTGTATATTATAGATAAAATTTGAGGCTCTGGATGATATCTTCCTCCAGACTCTTTCCTGTTGTTTGTTGCAGGCAGTTCAAGGAGGGGCAGATCAGCTTAATCCTGCATGAGGTAGTCTAATGCCAGGTGGGATTCCATGTTTGTTAAGACTGATCTGTTCTGGGTTAGCCCTTTGAGTGGAGGTAGCCATTTGTTTCCTAAGGGAAAGCCTCCTTACCAGTACCCCTTACATGGGATAGGTGCTGAGATATTATTATTTTCCTTCAGCCAGTGATACTACCTAAAACTCCTTGGGTTCTCTGCCTCCTGCTTGACCTCTCAACCAGCACTTACAAATCAACAAATGCCTCAAGATAAACATTTTACTATCACTGCTTAYATTTCTGTGCTCTAGGCTCTTGATTTCATTAAGTCATTCTTACCTTAGTTGTTCTTTATTTCTTCAGTGTTTTGTTTTTCAATCTGGCTTTTCTAATTGTTCTTGATAAGGCCTGTCTTCCTAGAGCTGGAAATAGAACTAATTTCTCATGTCTAGTTTATTTGTAGATTATTTCGTTTTCTATGTACATAATCATATCATCTTCATATAATTGTTTCTTATCAATATTCCTATCTGTTATTTTCATGACAGATCTTTCCATAGAGCAAAGTTCAGGTACTTTGGTGGGTTGTTGGTTTGTTTTGGTGGTGGAGAGGGGTTGAATGGGCTGTAGTTCTGTAGTTCTTTTTTCACTAGGAGGATTCTTTTGTTTCTCTCTTTCATCCCTAAGGGTGTTTTTCTTTGTTCATTTATCATCACCTTCACTGGAAGCTGTATTCTAAAGATTGCCCCTTTAAACCACACCTACTCCCTTTAAATCACACTCACTTTGAAGAATCTCACCTGTCCTTTGGGCTCTGACCTGTTTGGACACACATTTTAGACAGTTAAGACCTTGGTGGACTTAGTCTGGCAGAGATTTTAGACAGATGTTAGGACATTATGCGCTTTGGCTGGCATTCATCTTGTCTTCCCTGCAGGCTGTTCCATCTGCCTTCGCCCCCCTTGCGGTGTGGTGGGGTTGTGGGGTGGCATGTGGAAGTATATGCTGAGATTTGGTGATTCCTCCCATTTTATTCAACTTGAAGTTTAAGAATTCTCAGGTTACACTGAGAGTGTGATTTTTTTTTTTGAGAGAGAGTGAGAGAGGGGAGAGAGAGAGAATTTTTAATATTTATTTTTTAGTTCTTGGCGGACACAACATCTTTGTTGGTATGTGGTGCTGAGGATCAAATCCAGGTCGCACGCATGCCAGGCGAGCGCGCTACTGCTTGAGCCACATCCCCAGCCCCAAGAGTGTGATTTCTATATTGATTTCTTGTGTTCTGCATTATTTTGTAATGAAATATTGTATTCATTTCTAGAAGTTCTGCTATCTTATTGTTCCCAATGATATTAAATTTATCATATATTTCTTTGAAAATAATTAGTTTGTTTCATAGCATTTGATAATGTCAAAATCTGGAACCCGGATAGAAATTTTCTGTTTTACTGGTGGTGAAAAACTCTGAGGTCTCCTTCAACTGTAGAATACTAGAGATAACCTTCCACTGGAGATCYGAGTTTTACTCAATCACCTAAGGGWAGTGCCACAGGGCTTCACCCCTGTGTCAATCAAGTTATGCAGAGCTGGCCAGGCTCTAAACATCTCATTTCCTATGCCAAGTCCCTTTTGTTCAGAACAAAAGGGACTTGGCATA